AAAAGCTGAAACCTGCCTGTGATGTGGAGAGATGAGTGCTCAACAAAATGAAAGCGTGGAACTTAACTTGTAAACATTTTTATGTCGCCTGCTTTCCTACTTGCTGTTGGTTGATTCACAGTCTTACTGATAAACATGAAACCTCCCCTGTGAAAAAAAGCAGAGAGAGAAATTCCCATAAATTAAAAAAAAACTTTCCCACTTTGCACAACCTCAGTTTTGAAATTTAGCTCAAACGTGCAAGCGAATTGGTTTGGACTGCCTTAAATTCCTGCGGAAGGGCAGATAATTTTGAGAGATGATGCGAGATAAGCGAGGCAACTGCTACACCATTTAAAAAAAAAAAAATCCTGAAAACGTTTCCAGACACAGTCAGTGCACCTGGGGCAGCTGCGCGCTTCCAGGGAGCTGCATGCCGGCGGCCATGCCAGCAGGAAATGCGGCGTGACCTGTGGTGAGCCTGGAAGGGTGGGAAACACCACGAGCAGAAGATTTCCACGGGTGGCTCTAAGTGTCCCGGGTGGCTACCATGTGGGCACAGATGCAGGAACAAACGTAAAGCTATGGGAGCATGCAGGAGCGGTAGGAGCATCTTCTTGCTTCCACGTGCATAGCTGTGAAGCACTTCCTATCGCGTGTCCCTGCCGGCAGGGTGACAGCATCGCCTTCTTCCCCGGGCAGTGGGTCTGCGTGCATGAAACCTGGCTGTGAAATAGGAATGTTTTTTGGAAAGCATAATATTATTTTAATCATAAATTATTTGGAAACTCCATACAGAAATAGCTTCAGATCACTTCTTCCAGAGGGGTGTTTTTGCAGTCAGGGTCTTTATCAGCTTCTCAGTGGGAACTGCATTAATACTTCCACAAAAATGCAAACAGTAGTGCCTTTGATAAAGCAATTTGGCATCTCTCAAGCAGAAAGATGTTTTGTTTTCCTAAGATACAGCGCTGTTCTCAGTGCAGGGACCTGCCGTATGTGCCAGCATATGGAAAGAAAATACCAGTTTTGTTACAGTTTGTGTTCGGAAGCCGTGGGGAGGGGACGAAGGAGGCGGCCGCCTTTGCCGGTTGCAAAGCGCTCTCTGCTATTGCTAGGGGGACAGCACAGAAAGCCCAGAAGTGAGTGCCCACGGTGGAGATGCCAGTGGTCTGCAGTCAGCCTCACGGTTTTAGCTCCCTCCCAGAGTGCTCTGCCAAAGGTTCTCCTCCTCCTCCTCCTCTTCACCTTTGCTTTAGCTCTTCCCATCATGTGCCGGAGCGAGGCTGGTCCCCACTGCCGCCTGCCTCCCAGTGCAGAGTGGAAAAGCTTTACTGGCCATACAGTAGGCATCTTTGTGGATACTGTGAAAATGCCTTTTAGTACTTTCTGGTGTCCCGTGGGTATTACATATTTGGTTAGTGCATTATTTTGATTTTTAGACTGCCTTTGGTTCAAGAATCCTGAAAGGAAGCTGTTGTGCAACTATTTTAATCTGATTTTACAAGCCGATTCCAGCTTGATTCCCAGCACAAAGAAACAAAGAAGAGCTCAATTGTATTTTTTGTCCAAAAGTAAAAAGCCCTCCTCCTTTGAAGATATTCTGTAGAGTGTTATGTTTAGAGAGTGATTTGCTATTGTTTAAATTTAATCTCCATAATTACATTGCGATTGGATTAACGACGAGTTATTTTTCTGAGTCATTCTTTTCTGGCACTCGCAGCTAGTGAGCATAAAGCCAGGTCTTCATCGGATGTAAACTGGCATCGCTCCACTGAAGTTAGTGGAATAATTCCACTTTATACTGTGGCGGCCCAGATGTGATATTATAGCTGTTTTGAAGAAAGCACCCTTTTGGAGTTTGTTAGCCTTGAATCGTCTCATTTTTAATCTGTCTAGGCATCAACTTCCAATTGCATTATGTTTATGGTAGCACAGCTAGCCATTGTCTCTAGACCACCTCAGGTGGACCCAGAGGGATCAACAAAAGGTGCAATGCTGGATTCAACTATAAGTGTCTTCACTTTTTTTTCTGTTTAGAAACTGCTTTTTATCACCAAGACTGCAAGCAGGAAAAGTTCATTCCATGTCTGGTGAGCTTTTACATGCTCTTATCTATGAGAAGAAACCTTGGTCTGCTCGTTGGGGATGCTGTACTGCAAATCCAGGGGAGATGTCTGGGAAGCAGAGGGACTGCTCCTTTTTTTGAAATTAGTTATTTTTGCTCATTCTACTTTTCAGAAAGGGGGGTGAAATCTGGGGAGACCTGGCATGTAGGAGAGTGGCAGCAGGAGCAGTAGGCAGTGCACTTGATGTAGGAGATGGATCTGTCACCACAATTGGGGTGATGGAAAGAAACAGTCTTAGAGAGCCTGAGGGGCTGTGTAGAGTTGCTGTGATCATGGAAAGTATTTGAAAGCACTGGGTGGAGAGCAAGGTGGGAAGAAAGGATCTCCCCCACCCTTGTGCAAGTTGAGCAGGGGAGGATTTGCTTTCAGACCTCTTATTTTAATGTCTCACCTGAGTTCATTCTACGTTAAAGAATTTTCTTGCTCACTATTTGGGAAATGGCATGCTAATAAATCTTAGTTTGGAGAATGGGAAAGTTTTGCTTTCTTTTGGGTCCTTACTGCAAAGTGGTCAGTCCTATGTCTAAGCAGTAGTGGATTTAGGGTGTCACTGCAGTGGGTTAGACAGCATGTTTGTTTAGCCTAGTGTCCAACTGAGAGTGGCATGTACTATATATGTAAGTGTGAAAAACAGGCAGCAGCGGTCCTTTCTTTCCCTGATGCATCCTCGCTACTTCCAGGAGCCATCTGTTTTTGCTGCGGAGCTGCTGTTGCACCTGCGGGTCCACTCAGTACAGCATAACTTCTGTTTCCTTGTTAACCAGCAGAAAGTAGGTGTGAAGCCTTTTAGTCTTCTGTTCTTCCCATTTTAAGATGTTGAACTGGTACTTTGTACTTTTTGGGTTGTACTCTTTGTTCTCTTTTACACAGTATTTAGGAAATACTGCTTATTTTAGTAATAAAGGTCAGCTTTAATCTTTAGTAGTAGGTAACACTACTTCTACAGATGCGATCATCTGCCAGTCAGATGGGACTATTTGGGAGACTGGATGTCTTTTTTTAGGTTGACCTGATAGATGTGGAAAATGCAGACAAGCCTTCACCTCCAGGCATATCCTGTACATCTCTTCAGAGTAAAAAGGATGTGCTGCAGGTCTCATACATGACTATCCCTGTGTCTGATGGTCTAGGTAAGCACCTTTTTTTAAATAGGAGGCAAACTGTAAGACCCAAATGAAGACTGAGTCTTACACTGAAGTCCGATGTCCCTCAACTTGAATGCACAAAAGGCTTACATGCGTGAAAGCTCATCTTCTGTCCTCCTGCACCATGTGTCAGTTAGTCTTACAAAAGTACCACCAACTTCTATATTAATCCTGCCCTGTATTTTGCTTCTTACTGCCTTTTGTTTCTGTCTACAACACCTGTGACCAAGGTTGAGGGTTTTTTTTAAGCTTACATAAATTTGGTCCTGTGTAAACTACTGACAGTGATTATTGAAGAAATTCTGGTGATGCAGCTGTAAGGTTGCAGCGGTAGATCAGTAATATATGTTGTACATGGTCCTTTTACTAGAGGGGACTGTTGAAGCTGTGGTAATGCTTAAAGTATTTGGGGCCTAATCCACTGCTTCATTGCTCCAGATGTGATAAATGCTGTTGACTTAATGCAAGCAATTGGTGACGTAAAATGGAGAAATTGCCTCTGAGCTTGTTATGTAGCTATGGTGGCGAATCTCCGGCTGGTGACTCCAGTTTTTAGGGGCTTTCTCATTTTATTAGGAAGGGGGTCATGCATGAAGACTGAGAAGAAATGACTAGGAATGGCTTATATTTGAACTCAAACTGAATTAATGAATATTTGTGCAAAACTCATGCAGTACTTGTGCATGAGGTGATGAATACTGGTCAGTTTTGCAGGAGTGTGGTTGCAGTGGTCCTGCAAAACCAAGTCGTCACTGAAGATCTTGGGGTGCAAGCAATCATTCAGAAGTTTCAGCCTTGCTGCGGGCAGGATGGATGCAGAATGTCCCATCCCACATAGTCATGTATTGTTCATTTGTGACCCCACTCCTTCTCTGCCCCCTCCAAGGAGCCAGGTTGCTATAGAAATTATAATGATTTATATAGACAATGTATTTTAGGAAGTTTGGTTTTGGAGCTCTAGGTTTTGAGTATACATGTTAGTAATTTTGGCTTCAGCTCCTAGAGTATGAGCTAAAGACTTTCTTAAGCCACCATTGAGATTCGCATCTGAGGACATGACCTAATACTTTTCTTAACAGCTGAGAACTGGAGAAAAACACCAAATAGCATGACACTTGATGCTACTGTTCTGCGTGAAAATTGTGTTTACTCAGGAAAGACTGTTGTCCTGTTATTTCTGCATACCAGTTACTTCAGATCAAAAAAGCTGAACATTTCTATACACAAGGGGAGTTGATTTCTATGGTTGTCATCAGGGTTACATTTCTTTTGGTCCAAGGTGTGTGCAAGCGCACTCAAATGGAAGTGGGATGGTATAGTTACCAAAATAGATGCATTGTGTTAATTTCTTAATTAATGTTTTTTCAGTTCAATGTATTTAAAGTAACAAGTATTGTAAACAGTATGTTATTTTTAAACCAAGGACATTTTGTGCTGAAATTGGCTATTGCAACACTGGGTTAGAATTAGAATACACAAAATTCAAAACCACAGTAACCCTAATTTTGCCATTCTTGCCTTTTTAACTGCTCAACAATAGTGTTGTGTTTGTATAGTATTTAAAAATATTTGTTGAGGGGAATGTAAAGAGCTACTGGCAGGCTTCTCTGTTAACTATTTGTGCGTGTTCAGCTGCTCTGCTCAGAAATGAGCTGTAATGAAAACCTGGGGGTGAGTACTCCTGGTGCCCACAGCTCAGACTCTCCTCTGTGTTGCAAGTGAAGGAGCAGCCGAAGCCCCAGCCATGATGGGGGCAGAGACCTGCATGGTGGAGCAGACAGTCCCTTTTGCTCAGAGGACACACACCCATGATGGGCTAAAACCTCTCTTTGCCATCTCCTTTCCCAGCTTGCCCTGGTACGTGCACGCCTGGATCTGTAGTCTCCAAGGAGCTACTCTGGCAAATGAGTAATAACGTTCAGGATAATATAGTTTGACCATGATGATAAATTTTATATGGCTGTAGTTCATGTCATGACCCTACAATCCCTGGTTTTGCCTGGCTTGCTCCTGATGGTTCTGGCCAGTACTGGGAAGAGGTTATGGGAGGCCAGCACCACTCATATCTGCTTGCTTTCAACCTGCCCTGGCTGTGAGATGCCTGATTTTCCCTGCGAGGTCTTTGCACAGTTGAGACATGCACATGTCCATCTTCAGATGGAAATTAGCTTTGGATTTCATATATCACCGATCCGACTGACCTGAATGAATTCACATGGAAAAAAAAATATTTGGAGAGCAGCTTGAGAAAGGATTTGTCCTTACTTTTGTTGCCTTGCATTTTGGCATATGGTCTCTGCATTTTGAATACAAGGTCATCTGATGCAGTGTAGCGCGATAGCAATACAGACTGGGTAATCCTGGGAACCGGCAGCTTAGATCTTGCCTGTCCAAATTTTACTGTTCTAAAACTTGACTTCTTTGTTAAAAATGAACACTTTCCAGGGGGTAAAAAGCCCCCAGAGAAGAACTGTTGGCATTTTATATTTTTAAGCTGTCTTGCTGAATGAAAACAGTTGATTATTAACTTGATGGGGTGACAATGAGTATATAGAACTTAAATATCTCACCACTCCCACAAAGAAAAAAAAAAACACCCTCCATTGTATCATGGGAAGATATATAGCCAGAAAAACTTTCCAACTCGTTAAACTTTTATACTTGCTTCATACAAGCTTAATGTAGGCTTTTTTCCATCCTGTGATGTTGTAGGGACGCTTCTGAATGCAGCTGAGGAGGACACCATCAACTGAACAGTATTTATTTCTGAACGTGCCTTTTTCATAACAGAAAAAGCTAAATCACTTAGTCTGAAGGATTAAAAAAAAGGTTTCCTTGTTTGTGTGTTTCCGGTTGTTTATTCTGCCAAGCCTGATAGTGAAATCAGTTTGAATGTTTCCCTTGTAATCAGTTTAGTCAGCTTCTGTGATTGCATGGGGTATTCGGACGAGGATAAAGGAAGAAAGTTTTAAAAAACAGGAAAATACTATTGTAAATATATTGGGCAAGTTACAAACTGGGAAAGGGTACTTGGAGTCAAGCATCGTACCTGCTGCTACTTTTGATGCTCTGTGGTTGGTGTTTGGGTGGCTTTTTCTTCCTCTTGTGGCTTGTGTTTGACTTTTTAGAAGAGGGGTATGGGAAAATACTGATTTAAAGGACTTGAGTCTGGCTATACTGCTTTTAACCTGTGTATTTTGTAGTGGAGGTGAGTGGAGGTCAGGCTGCTGTAGTTGTCTTGAGGTTGGAAAGTGACAATAAAAAGTGACATTTTGGCTTGTATTGAGCCCTGTGCTGGGTGGGACGGCTCTGCCTCGTGCACTTGGCGGCCACATCACATCTTGATGTGGGGCTGTAGGTGGCAGGAAGCGTCAAATATGCCCTTTGCTGTTTCTCTCTGGTATAATTTTAGTTTTCTGGCACCCTGATGGGGTTCTGCTGCTCATCCTGGTTGTGTCCTTCCCTTTGCTCTTCCTGATCCCCCTTTATCATCCTCAGCTGTGAGCCTGGGGGAAAGCTGACTGCAGGTCAGCTCATCCCTGCAATGGCACGGGGAGTGGGACGCGGGACAACACATGGATTTCAGCTGCTCATTGCATCCGTGAGCAAGGACTTAGCAAGTTCTAAATCGAGAATTGTTGCTTCATACGTGTGTCTCTCCAGACCTGCGGATTTAGACATTCCCTCACCATTAATTACATCCTCTTGTCTTGTAGCAGCAAGTAAAAAGGCCAAGTTGGGCATGTCGTCCTGCTGCAAGCAGCCGAATGTGGCTTCTTGTTGGTTGGATGCACGCAAGTTTCTGAAAGTACGTGGCCGCTCCGTTTTGGGAAGCGTGTCCTGTGACACTCGCCTTGGGGTAGGGAGTAATCAGGCATCTCGGGCTCTTTTTCGGAGGGTGTACACATGAGTGACGCCAACCGGTCCAGCATTGCCAGAGTTATTCCCAGTTAAAAGCAGGGCTGGGTGCTTCAAAGGGAAGCCCAGTTTGCTGGCAACCGGTGGGCAGCGAGGTAATTCCTAGGTGGCACTAGAAGTAGGTGGTATCATCATTCGCCTTGGTGCAATCTCTGACGGAGATGCTGGGTGTCACCACCTCGTTTCTGGAAGCCATAGGGTCTGGTCCCTCACATGTGTCAGTTGTTTGACATCTAAACTGCTCAGACAGATGCAATGCGAGACTGCCAAAATCGACAGCGGCGTCTGACACTAACAGTGGTTTGTGAGCTTGCCTGTTCGCCCCGTGGCAGCTCGTAGCGCAGCATCTCCCAGTGCGGTGTCCCACAGAATGCTCGGCAGCAGTCATGGGGAGGTGAAAAGATTTCCAGGCGAGCTTCAAAGAGAAGGATGTGACTAACTGTCTCGCAGGGAGCCAGGACGTGGACCCAGCCAGATGAGGCAGCTCGCATGAAAGGGCTGCCAAAGGAAAGGGAGAGGACACAGACGAAACTGGGACTGGGGGACAAGGAGGAACAGGCAGCTGGGAAAGGTAGAGGGGAAAATCTCTGTGGGCTGTTTCCAGTGGCCAGGAGACATGTCTGCTCTCCAGGGAGGTAACCTGTGGGTAAAGCAGTGAACCTCAAGCACGTTGGCCGTCGTTCCTGGCTCCACCACGAGCCTCTGCTGCCTGTCCTTGGACAAGTCACTCTCCTGGTGACTCAGTATCCCAGCTGTAAAACGGGGATTGCTGCTTACCTCATGGGATGTTGTGAGGGGAGGCTCATGGACGCCTTTGCTTTTTGATGTGTTGAGCAGGGGGAGCAACAAAAACTGAGCACAAAGACGAACGTGAAAAGGGATCTGTACTTCCCTCGCTGCCTTCTTTGAATGCAGTGATGTCCCTAATGATAATATAATGGTGACTTGTTCATCATTGACATACACTTCTTCAGTTGCACCAGTGGAACGGTTTTTTGGTTTTATTTTTTTCCTCTCAGGGCTTTAAAGATGTAATTTTGTGTATTTATATAATATGTTAATATTTTAATCAATTTCTAATAGAAAATTAGAAGAAATAACAAACCATAAATCAAAGCCAGACTAAACCAAGATGCAATGAAGTAATACAAGACAGGGGACTAGAAGTAGGGTTTGCAAAGGGAGCCTCAAACAGAGAAAATGCAAATCCCGAGGCCTGAAGAAGGAAGGTTTCTGGTTATATATCTATATCTGATAGTGTACCTGAGGAGGCCTAAGGCCTGAAAGGAAAAGCTCCTTCTCAGCTCTCATTCTCAGATAAGCTTCTGCAAAAGGAGGGAGAGCTCTGGTTAACTTTAGCCTCTGAAATAAATGTCATGTTAATCTTACCCTGCTCATGAGCCAGTCCAATGCCTAATGCACAAACCCGGGAGCCAGAACATGGCAGTTTTTAGGACAGTTAGGGAATTGGTTGACCTGGTGCTAGCACTTAGTTCTGTCTGTCCCTTTATGTGCTAGAGCAAAATGGAGCTAATTGTCTCCTCTGTTGGAAAAGGGGCGCGAGGCTTAAGGAAATGATGTAGAGAACATGGAGATCCATAGGAGGAAAATGGCTGGGGGCCGTCACAGCTTCAGTGTTTCACACAGGAGCAAAATGCATGGTGATATTTCACCTGTCAAAGCGGGCTTTTCTTTAAAAAATGGGAAATCTCAAAGACATTGGCTAGAGAAGGTGAACATTCATCTTTTCCAAGTACTGTATTTGAAGGGCTTTAGCTGCGTAAGCTTTCCTGGCACTTGCCAGGGCTATCTTTGGAGAAAAAAAATAAGATTCCTGTTTTTTTTGAAGGAACAGGTGGCAGCATGTGGAAACCTTTTGTTGTTCAATTTTAGTCATGGTTCCCTTTTTTCCTTTTCTTTCCTTTTCCCATCTGCAGTTGAGTATGACAAGGAGTTCACGCCTCACCAGCGGCACCACAAGGAGTTCAAGTTTAATTTGTCTCAGATTCCTGAGGGCGAGGCCGTCACAGCCGCTGAGTTTCGGATCTACAAGGACTGCGTTGTGGGGAGCTTTAAAAACCAAACTTTCCTTATCAGCATCTACCAAGTGCTACAGGAACATCAGAACAGGTACGCAAGAGGGGGCTTGCTCTGTGCCACCAGCCGCTGTCCTGGGGAAGGCTGAGCTTGTGCATTCATGTTGAGAGGACTGCTAAATAAATACTGGTTCTGTTCACGTTAACAGGGTTATTTTATTGCGTGGTCCTTTCCCTGTGGGAGGTGGGCCTGGTAGAGTGCAAAATGGACCTCAGCCCGAGAAAGTCCATGGCGCTGTAGTCTATTAGATGTCACTTAGCTCCAGCCTTTGTGTGCCTTTAAACAGAGCAAGAATCTGATGTGAGGCAGTAGATTTTAGATGATTTAGTAGATTTAGTAGATTTTTTAAATAACTAAAGTTATTATGCTGGCATTGCTCTTGTGTATTGAAATACACATATCCCCTTTCAACTTGATACTATCGGCATAAAAAGCATAACCTGCTCAAAAAATACTGGTATTTAGTGCAGACTCAACCTGCTCTCAGGTGGGCTTACATTAAAGTAAATAAAGCAGAAGAAAATTCAGCATGCTTACCACAGGTACAAAATCACTCCTGGACTTTCAGTGGCAATGAGAGAGGCAAAAGAGGCAAATCCGAACAAGTGTAAATGGAGAGATAATTTAAAAAGGGTAATGTTTGTGATGGGGAAATCGTGCAAGGCAAAAAGATAGAAATACACAGTCGATTAAATGTCAGAGTAATGCTGTGGTACAAAAGTGTTTTGTTACTTCTGCTCAAATGTGTCAGGACTGTAACTGTTCCTCTGCAATTGGAAACAGCAGTGTTTAAAAAAAATCTCAATTTCCTTCCTCTGTGAAGGCCTCCTGGGTGTTTTCCTTTCTGGTCCTTCTTTCTCCAGCCTTTCTGTTGATATAATTTGGGGGGATCTGCCTTTGATGATTTGCTTTTGTGAGGGCAACATCAAATAGTTAATGGTTTTTCTGTGGCGAAATGGAGAGAAATACTTGGATATATAAATGATGGGGAAGAAGATGTTAGTTTTAAAAGGTCAGTGTTTCCTTTGCACTTTGAGTTGCGGGTTGCTTGAGTGCATCCTGGGGTAATACGCGTGCTGGTTAGGATGCTACGTCAATACCCACTTGAAGAGCTGAAGGAAGTCGAGATGGTCATGCAGATTTCGTAGATGTTAGCTGTATTGTTCATTTGTAGCCACATTGAATAAAAAATACTAAGTGTTGGTCTGGTTTACATTTCACAAGTAGAGATCCCACCTCTGGAGCTCAGGAAAACCTCTGTCAAGTGACTGTGGAAGTGGTCGATACGCTGCTCTGCGTCGGTCACCAAAGCAGGGCACAGAGTATGTCAGGTCTAACGTTCCCTCTTCTAAGGAGAACTGACAACTTTTATATGTATATAACCTTCTTTCAAGCTGAGCAAACAAGTAATGCATTGCAGAAAAAAGAATAGAAGTACAGAATACAGCCCCTAACGTACCCTGCTCCTAACAAAGTTTGCAAACTCTTTGTTCCGAAAGTGGCTGTTAGTTCTGTGTACAGCAATGATGCTGGCACCTCATCTCTTTGTTTCAAATACCATGCCAGGAACATGCCAAAATCAGATTGTGCTGTGAAGCTGCAATACGTGTCCTTTGGCACTGGGCGGTTTGGCGTCTCCACGTGCTGGGCATCACTGGGTGCTAGAGAGCTCCCTACGGATGGAGCAGAGGCAGCAGCTCGGATGGGGGCTGCCAGGGTGGTCTCACTCCAGAGCTGGCGAGTATTTCGGGTGTTTCAGTTCCCTTCTGTCATGTTCCTCCTGCCACTGCCGGCAGCTGTGTTGAGGAGATCCTGCCGTTGGGACTGGGAATCCTAAAGCGGCTTCCTCTAGGTCCAGACTGCCAGCAATTCGCCGTCCCTCCTGACATGGGCTAGGCGTGAACCGCTGACCCACGGATGAGTGTCTGTAGTTCATTACTAACCTCTGACTCATCCGGTCCCTCAAGGCTCCCTTTTTGTTTCTTTTCCTTCTTTATTTATTTATTTTTACTGGTGGGAAGGAGAGAGACGTTTGGCTAAAGAAATTTGCGCTTCAGATGAGTCTGCGGGACTGGTCACACCATCTGCGCAGAGGTGGCCAAAACGTGGCTCACAGATTCTTGCAGTTGCAAAAAGGACATGCCCTTTTCCGCCCTTTTTCCTTTCAGCTTAAAGGGCTCTTTCATGTACATGTAAAACATAAAAGCACATATGAAAACGTGTGCTTGTGTATAAATACCTGCATATGTATCTATTCTCTGTGTCTGTATATAAAAGTGTATACATTTTAATCGCTATTTATATTAATTGTCCTCTCTATTAAAAATATGCAGATCTTAAAAGACAGTTAAAATAAGGTATTAGAAGTGCTTACCACTCTTCAGTGTTACCTTCAGTTGAGGTTCTGACTCGATGGGCTGCTGCTGCTGTAGATTCAACCGTGCAGCTGTGTTGGTGACCTGCATGGACTTTGGCCTGTAAACATTCTTGAAAACAAATACTAAAAAGTTGTATTTAGCTGTTCAGTAATATCTCAGCATGGAGGGGAAAAATGCCTCAGATTCTTCTGGTATGCCTTAAGGAGCTGTATTCTCTGAGGGGGTTTGGGTTTTGATCATCAACTCACTTGCTTTTACGGTGTGGAAAAAAATCCAAAGTGCTTTTTCCCCCCCTTTTGTCCGAGTGGATTAATTTGGAATATAATGTTTTCTTTTCCTGTAGAAAACATTAGGAGGTTAAATTACACAAAAAAAAACCCAACACCCCCCCCAACCCCAAACCACTATTTTTTGAAGGAACTTGCTAAATATTTGTAAGGCTTCTGTTGCATTTTAGCAGACATCTTACGAGCCAGAAAATAACAGCTGCCTTTGACTTAAAAAAACCCAACCTAAAAAAAGTTGTGTCACACTTCCTTTGGACTAATGGTTTGAATAGCAGCCTGATATTTCCTGACATTTGATGATATTTTATTGCATAAGGAAGAGTCTGTACAGATCTTGAAGTCTAACTGGTGAACTAGCAGGTGAAACAAGGAGTTGAAGTAGCCCCTTTTTTCATCTTGTTCTGCTGACAAATATTCCTTCTGATCCGGAAAATTTGTCTCCTAAGGCCACAGAAAGTGTCTGTTGAGTCAACATTGGCAGTCCCTAGACAAAGTTCAAAGTCACCATGTTAATCTTGGCTTTTATGAGGTTAACAGTTGTCTGAGGCAATTATTGGTAGCTAAAAAAAATACTTTTGGGCGCAAATGATTCTTAACAGGGCAGCTGGCACGTATGGATTTGAACCAACAGTCCATAAAAGAAAGGCAGCGTACACCTCTGAGGTGAAAAAATATAAAGAAAAAGAAACCTGGCTGCTCCTCTCAAAGAAATGAGTTTGGGAGGGCGGGAGATAAGAGAAAGATTCAGTAAATACAAATCTTCACCAAAGCTCACAGCCTGGAAGTATCCCTTGGCTCCGATTAAGTGTAATGAAGTGGCTTAATTCAGTATTGCTTGAGCAAAGCAAAAAAAAAAAAGCTCATCTGGACAGTTAAGAGCGTAAGCGTGTGACTCCAGCCCAGATGTGCGTGCTGCTGCACGGAATCGCGAGGCACTGCTGGCCGTTCCCTGGTGGCTAAAAACAAAAACCAAGACTGAGGCTTAAATTTCTACCAGTTACTGAATTATCAAACTGATTTTTGCCACTGTAGACAAAGCTAAAAGCAAGGATTATATGGGTCTCCCAGACAGGGGTGTATGCGGAGAGAGCACGAACGATCAGAGATCAATGCTGATTGAAATAGCATAACCTTTGGGGAGAAATTTGACCTCCTTCTCATTCGAAGCCATCAGAAATATGAAAATGATACTTGTGGAGGCTCCAGGCAGTGAAACGCACATTGAGGACAGTGCGGTCTAAGTACATTCTCTCTTAAAAAAGAAAACATTTTAATACTGACTCACTTCTGTCAGTAATATTTTCATCTCCCCATTCCTTCCACCCTTTCGTAAGGTAAAAAAAATAGTGCCTAGAAACTAGGCTTTTGTTTTATAACCAAACCGCAGTTAACGGCCACATTTTGTCATAACACAAACTGCTGGAGTTGTCAGTGGGATGCTGCGAAGAGATTAATGAAATCCTCAGGATAGGTCAAGCTTGTGGCCAGCCATCAGCGGTATGCGTGTCGGATTGTGTGGAGAAGAGGCTTCAGCAAACAAAGCTGAGGTGACGTCTGGTTTGCTCTGAGGGGGACGGCTCTCGGTTTTGACATGGGCTGTAGGGCTGACGTCGGGAGGGGGAACGGGCACACGTCCGCTAGATGCTGCCGCCCTTCAGCGTCTGACCCCCCAGAGTTTAAGAGACTGCGCTAAGGTGGGGGACTTCCCCCCCCCCTCCCCCCCTTTGGTGTGTGCGGAAAGTGGGGAGATTTGCCAAAGCACCAGTTTTAGGAAGACAAGTGGCATCAGCGTCCAGGTGTTTGTCCCACCTTGGCCGTATCTGAGGGGACGTTTAGTGTCAGCAGGCAGGATCTGCACAGCCTCAACTCTCCTCCCGTCGGTCGTACCGACACACAGCTTAGCTCTGCATGTCGGCTTGTTTCTAAGGTGTAGTGCTGATTTCGTGGAGGGACCAGCAAAGCCCTCTGTGACTTTTGGTACCTCTTGGGAGTGGATTGCCACGTAAGCAAGAACTTTGCAAGGGGAGAAATGAGTTTGCTCCTGGAAACAGCTCATTAATTTCTTTTTCTTTCTCGAAAATTCCTTGCTCTCACCCAGAGAGGTGTCAGGTCAGGACTAGCTTGTGGTTGATCAAAGATGTTAGTCCTTGGTTTGGATCATCAGTATGTTTTCAAGTGTAAATATCCTGCTAATGCAGACATCAAAACACTCCCACACTGTCCAAACAACTGATCTATGAAAAACACAGTGGCCTGTGTTAGTGATCAAAGGAAGATACGTTACCTTGATGGTCAAAGTTTATTAAACAGTTTCATTTTCACCCAGAATGAAATATGAGGACTTGATGGGCAGAAAGATTCCTCCTGT